TGGTTATCAGGCAGATCAGGTACAAGTATGCATCAAATCAAATTTTCACACATTGCCTGCAAAGGTGGCTGAGTTGCAATTAAAGCCGCTCATCAGCGTGTCGTTGCCTACTTGATATGCTGTTGCACATTTTTAAAATGATAATGTCTGAGTGGCACTTACTGCAACGAGTTACACCCAAAAGGAGTTGAACAATCACAATTTTTACGGGCAACAAAGTGGCGGGATCAGCTAGTAATATTATGTTGAAAAAATAGTTGTTTATTTAATAGTCCTGTAGCAAGTATACAGCTGTAACAATATTGGCTGCATGTGCATTATTTCCACCAATACTACCAGCAATAGCTGATCCCATCAAGTTTTTGCTTATGTTAACATCAACCAATGCTGCTACAGTAGTTTTCAGTACCTCAGTGTCAATTTTTGAAGGTACAATTGCTTCACCAACAACATATTTTCCATGGCCTTCAATCCTATATAAGGAAAAAACGTAAATAATATAATGGAAAAATGCATACAATTTTTAAAAATTTCATACCAATTGACTGCTGCTGGCTTTTGTCTGAACAAAAATTACCACTCAAACTTAAAACTTCCATGTCGGGGAAGTATCCTCCGATGACATTGAGTGATTTTTCTGTTCCCTATTAAAAACATTAAAATAAGTATTATTTAAATTTAATTTAAGGGTCAATGTGACATTATTTAACAAAATATTAAATAGTGTTTTTTTTTTTTTACTTTGGATAACATATTCATGCCCATTGCATCACCCGTAGAAGCTGTAAGCCGAATAAACAGATATCGACCAGCAATACGCACAAGTAATTTTGCGAGTCTTGCAAATCTGCTAGTTGAATCAAATGCCGACTTAATTATTTTGAACTTTTCTGGATTGTCCATCCACACTTTCGCTTTGCTAATATGTTGTAAAAAAATGTTTACTTATCAATATTCTCAATAGCTGAATGGAAAATTACATACATACCTAGCAGTAGTAACTGAAGAAAATCGAACAACGGGTCCTCTAGTCATACCATCATCCACAACTCTAGTTATTACGCCACCGCATATTGTCAGTGCTCTACATCCTGTTTGAAACTGGCCACTAAGCAACCTTCAGTGTTGCCATGGGTACTTGATAAAACGCCTCATCCACAAGTACTGGTCAGCTACTCACAACAGGCACAGTACTATCTCTTTAACGTTCTCGCTATTAGTTCTAGTACCTAGAAGAAATTCAATACTACAGTCATACAGAATATAATTCCCTAGTCTCTACTATATAATTGATCAGTTGTTCCTTACTTTGAATAATCATAACCAATGTAAGGCAATTCTATTAAGGCTTCCGTCAGATTGCTTTCTACTGCAATTATTTTTTTTCTAAGACCAACACCCCTCTCTGGGTTATTGACACATTTTTCCAACATGTACGGTTTTATATGGTTTGATTTCACTAACATTAATACTTCATTATCATTTAATTGTTCAGCCGATTTCTAAATAATAAATATGTATATTTATCATAATTCATAACCCATTATAAAGTATGCACGGCAAAGATAGCAGTTTATGGATGGTACATGTTTAATTCCTTATTATGTTCCCCTATGTATTTTTTATGTAATAAAAGTTTGGAAGTACATAAGAAAGTTATGTACTTGTAACATAAATATTTTTAATAGAGTTAATAAAATAATATTAGTTGGCTAAAATAGTAAAAACAACACACTAAGGATAACACAATCAATATTAATAATTATTTTTAATAGTTTATACAATAAAAATAATTAGTGTAATTAGCAATTACTTACTACACAATATATGCTTGAACTAATTAAAAATATTGAGCTTTTTTACTTTAAATTCGATGAACTATAATATATAATAATATTGCTATTATATGACTAAATAATACAACTTAACATCATTCACATACGCACACTAACTAAATATAAAAATCCCCATAACTATATGATTGTAGTTAATAGAAATTAACAAGGCTGGGCAAGTTAATGATTTTTTTTAACTCAATTAAGTTAAAAGTTAATACACACTTTTTATTAACTTTTTAAGAGGACGCTACCCATACATTTGTTATCTCCATCTTACACACGCACGACTTAGGAAATTGTCGTTCACTAGTTTCAATAGTATGCAGTTAGTTTTTATACTAAAGTGAATTGACCTATTATAACATATTTAGATAATAACATTATCTATGCTTAAGAGTTGGCTTTTATTCGATATTTTAATTTTCAAGCGAGATATGAGCATTTTAAATGTTTGATATTTCACGTACACATATCTTACTTGAAAATGAAAATATTTAAAAATCGCCAACGCTTAAGCACAGATAATATTCTTAACTAATAGTATGATAATAGGTCAATTCACTCTAATATTAAAACTAACAACACACTATTTAAACTAGCGAATTGAAATTTGGTATGTCGTGCGTGTGTAAGACGGAGACAACAAATACATGGGTAGCGTCCTCTTAAGTTAAAAAAAAGTTAATTTGTTTTTACAAAGCTGGAGTACTTCATTTTTTTCCAACCCAAAACTAAATTATAGACTTTATACAGTATTTCCATATAAGTTAAATTCAAATGATATAAATTTTTAACTTTAAACAATTTATGATACATATTTTTTGAAATGAAAACAAAATAGACTGAAATAGTGAAATATAATTAAATTAAAAACAAAATAAATTAACTTAACTTACTTCTTAAAATGAAAAATTAACTCGTTAATTTCACGTTAATTAAAAAAGAAATATAGTAAGTTAACAGTTAAGTTAATGAAAATCCAAAAGTAACTAGTTAAGTTAAAGAGTTAAAATAATATTAACTTTTTAACTCGTTAATGCCAGCCTTGGAAATTAATAACTTCATTTTTAAAATGTTAACATAATTACATAAATAAGCCCAATAAATATATATAATAATTATAGATTCAACAAAATCTTATATAAATAAAAATAAATCTAAATATTTATTAGTAATTTAAATATTAATTGTAATTATAAAATTAATGATTTGATTAAAGAGACATTATTTGTAATGTTAAAACGAGCGCTTTTGATGCATATGAATGGTATTTAATTTAAGAGGATTCACGAAATGCCTTCCTTAAAACAATTTTTTTTCTTAAAAATTGTATACATAATACACGCATGTGTTGTATACTTGTATCCATCTTACTAACTCATAACATATCAAAACTTATGTTTAGTAATTTCAATTTTGGGTTGAATTAAATATTAGATGAGTTGACTTATTATAAAAAGTTCACATAAGAACATTATTTGTATCCTCTTGTTGGTTTTTACGATAATGATATTTTAATGTTTAATTAAAATGATGAGTGTATAAAATATTAAAATTTAAAAATACTCATAACTTACTTCAAAATTAAAACATTACAAAAAACCAACAAGACAATACAGAATTCACTATAATATTAAATTTAACAGCAAAAAATTGGAACTGCTGAATTGCAAATTTGGTTATGTCCATACGTAAGACAGAGACAACATATTATGTGGATATGACTTCATTTTAAATACATTTAAAATATTAAATAATTATATTATATTGTACTGCATAAAAAGATATACAGGGGAAATGTTTGTGTTTAATAACTTGTTTCATGTAAAAAAATTATCTTCACTAAGCATATGCAATATAATATGCATATATTTATAAGTTGAGAATAATTATAAATACTGACTGAAAAAAATTACGTTATACCAAGATTATTGTAAGAGTATTAAATATTTACCTGAGTCTTAAAAATATCTAAACATTCATCAAAATGCCTGATTTCCACATTGTTGTTACCATCAACATTTTCTGTTTGAACCATTTTGTTGGAAGTATAAACTGATGCTTTTTGATATGTAGTTTGGCTATGTGTATGTTTAAAATCTTTTTGGGTTTCATGGACATGTACTGAATGACCTGTATGTAAAAAAATAAAAATATTTTGGGCGTCTTTAATTTTTGTTAAATAGTTTAAATTAATATACTATTGAAATTGTATTTATTGATAATATTTATAAATTGTTATAGTATAATGCTTTAAAATGAATGATTATTAACAATAAAAATATTTCCAATTTTGAAAGGTCAAGACTAGTCGAAAAAAATTATAACACTGCTAAATACAATGTATGTTCATATTTACTATACAGTATGCGTATTTTAAAATTGTACTCACCGGATTTGTTTGTTGACTGTTTTTTATTCACCTGGGCTAAGGTATGAGCTAGATCATCACGGTCTCCAAAGAACCAAAACCAAACTATCATTAATAGTAAAAGTATCAATATAACTATATGACTAGACATCCAACTATGGAAAAAAAAAAGGTTAATATTAGATTCATACAAAGACATTCTTTTAACGTAATTTATGTGAATAAATAAGTTATTTACAGACATTCACACTTACTGCACAATAGATATATGAACAGAACGATGGTAATTCTCTTTGGTTTCATTAAATACAGCAAACTTGGTAACTTGTACTCCTAACATATTATCTGCTTCAGTTTCCATACCACTCAATGCTCATCGACTAAAATGTAGTGAACAAATTTCAAGTTTAAAATGTTACAGACAAATGAAGGCAAACTGAATGTTCTCCTTTCTAAGAAAACATATAACCATACAAATGTTATACGAATACATTCTATTGTACTAATTTTTATTTAAATTTTTTTATTCTAAGAAAATAAAAACTATTTTTCTGTATAAATAAATAAATATATATATATATATATATATATATATATATATATATATATATATGAATACACAAACAGTAAAATATGGATCACTAAAGAATAAGTAAAGGTAGGTAGTGTTTCTTATGCAAATCCTAGACCCTATTGTCAAAGCTATGAATGAAATTGTACCTCTGTACGTGAACAATCATTACACCCACTGACATGATCACCTTTGTGATCACAGGCTTTGTGTGATTGGGTCATGACGCAGTTATCTGAAAACGTTCACCCCAAAACGGCATACCATTTTCATCTCCTCTTCTAAGTAACTGTTAATTAAACAATACATTGTCAGAAAAACTATTGCTGCATACCCGAGCTACCAAATGTTCAATAATATAAATATTTAAATTTAAAAATAATAACTTACATCTAATACCAAGGATAAAGAAGCTGGATAAAAATCATGATTACCACATAGTTCACAATGAATGACATGCATGTAAACATACACTTCTAAATGATGGACACCTGACAGCATCCCGACACTGATAACAAGACTACATACAATTGAGTCCAAAGAAAATGATGGACCTAGCAATGACATGCTTTTAGATGTATTATTGATTACTTCAGTCTGTGAGCAGCCACTTAGTGCAAATTGTGCCAACAAACTGGCTTTTTTTGAGTTAACAATTAAAACTAATAGGAATAGGAACATCTCTGTAACAAAAAAATAAATAGTGTTTATAGGTACCACAAGTCAATAATTTTTATCATATTTAGCCGTAACAAATTACTTAAACTTACTTTAAGTGTCCATTTAAGTAATGTATTACTATGGTACTAAAAACGAAGCTTGAAAATACTGTAAACATGGCAGCAATACCTGAAAATAATTTTCATAAGTGAAATTATTAAACAATTTTATAATTTTCTATGAAATTTAAATAATACAATTTCCTAGTAAGATAAATCAATTTGATACAAATTTGAGAAATTATATCAAATGATACATAATAAAAATAGAAAGTGGTAAGTAACTAGGTAATTGCACAATTTAATTGATGAGAGCAAAAACAAATGAATCAAGCTACCAGTTAGTGATTCAAGATGGAAGTAAAAATTGCAGCAGTTATTTAATGTTCAAAAGATAATATTTCAATAACAAACCAATTGATCAAATTATTTAACCAGTTTTAAAAATTGATAAACAAATTAATAAACTTGCGCCAGTGAACAAAACAATGAAACAAAAAGCTGAGTTATATGATCAATTATTTTTGTTGACCTTGCTTACATAAGTTAGTAATTGACAATTAGAGATATTATTCAAAGAATCAATAAAATCTTTTTACTATATTATAATATGTCAAAGGTCGCGTTTCATCTGGTTAAAAGTGTATGGTCGTCTAAACTGCAACGACCTAACACCACAAATGGTCAGTAAAGTCTATACAACTGGATGTACAGACATTTTAAACCGAAGTTACCATTTTTTTCCTGTCTTTTACTGAGGTAAACATGAAGTCATGGTTGTTTAACTTTACTTAAATATATAAATATATAATAAACCGGGCGTTTCTTTTATCATTGAAAACTCATGATTTCAAAAGGTATAAATATTTTTGAAAGAAAAGATTTTACATAGCTTCAAGTCATAAAAAAACAACATTATTTTTAAAAATATATGCATATGTTTTAATATTGATATTATTTTGTTTTTATTGGTCTTGAAATTATAATAATTTTTCTAAGAATTTCGATACATAAGAATCGAATTTAGGACAAGCAGTTTACGAGTTATAGGTATTTAAAGTTTAGATGAGCGGAATGAAGTGGTACGGGGTTACCTCGCAAAACGTTCCACTATTCCATCTAAACTTTAAACACTATAAACTCATAAACTCTAAATTCAATTTTTATGTATCGAAATACTCAGAAAAATATTCTGCTTTCGAAATGAAATTAAAACTTTGTTGTAATCAAAAAAGTAAAAAACTGAATTTTTGAATAAATACATTGCAATGTAATGACTTGAAACCATGTAAAAAAAAAATATTTTAAAAGACATTTTTACTGTTTTGTCTTTTTGAATAATGAGTGTCCCCTACTGTCAAATGGTTAAATGATTCACTCCATACAAATAATATATCCTATATTAGTATACATAATAATCATCTTACCCAAAACATATTTTGAATCCAACTGCCTGAAATCATTGAACAGATAATGGCAGTAAAGCACGGCTATACATCTTATTAAAGTCATAAATATTACGTCGATGGCGTGCGGTTCGTCAGTGCGTGCGTCAGCGTGCGATTGAAAACAAACATTGAAAACCAAAAAATCCATACATATTATTTTGTAGGGCACTTAAAAAGATAATATAACTACTAAGAACTGGAGATCGATCGATCTCTATCAAGGCACTCTACTAAGAACGTATCAATGAATAGTATATAATATATATATATTTAATTATTAATTAGGAAATAGGAATGTACATACGAGCAAAAAGATTAGACGACAGTACGAGTGTACGACACTATACAGGATAAAAACAGGAATGCACCACTCGTGGTGGGCTTGCGCAGTTGTTGATATCGTGCGCATAAAGTGAATATTAGATAACATGTTGATTATCAGTTATCAGTAATTTAAGACGAGCCTACAAATGCCATAGATCCGGTGGTAAGTATTACTGTTGCGGAGCCACGACTGTTGTTCATGTATTTATTCGATATCTACGTCGGTGATAAGATAACATTCAAATAATTACCGCGTGAATTTAAATATTATAATCATTATTATTAATATAAGTAAATAATAAAATTGAGTATTGTAATTTTTATATCCTAAATCTAAATTATTATACTTACAACAACAAAAAAAAAAAAATGTAATAATGAAAATTCTAACATGTAATAATGAAAATTCTAACATGTCCTACAAAAAAAAAAAAAAAATAATAATAATTTATTAAACTTTATCTTTATACATTGTCCATGTATAGGAATTCCCGCGTTGTATATAATTGTATCTATAATGGTTTACTGTCAATGATCTTTATTACAATCAAGTGTCACTTCGAATATGGGCCGTATTATTATTACCACCATATATCGACCTACACAATTTGTATTACTGTTAATACTGTAGTCTTTAGTATCTGAACATTAATGCTGCAGGTATTTATTTTGTTGCTAGTGTATAAATGTCATAACATTATTAAAAGTATAAGTAATATACGTATAGGATTAATTATTTTGTATAATATGTCTTTTGTGGTGCCAAAAAACAAGGCAAATAAATAAAACTAAATTTTCTTAATTTTAGGATTTTTTAGCAATAGCATTAAAGATAAATTTGAATTATTAATTATTATGAATTATGTTCGGGTGATGAACTGTAAAAAAAAAGTAACAAACAATATTGAATTCAAATTAATTATATTAATTTTTTTTAGATTCTGAGTGAAACGATGAATGTATTGATTTTACAATGATGTGTGTTTTTTATTTTTTTTTTATTTTTTTATTTTTTCTGTCATCACGTTTTAGGACAGTAAAAGTGCTTGGATTTTCTTCATCAGTAGCTTTTCTGATAGGAAAGTGAATCTAGTTGGTACTTTGGGGGGTCAAAAGTATAAATTTTCCAGTAGTTTTCACAAGCGCCGGGAAAAACAACATAAAAATTAAGGAAAAACGGGAATTTTTACGCAAAATTGGTTTTCCAAAAAATCGATTTTGGTTATTGGTGTAACTCTAAAACAAATGAACGTATATACATGAAATTTTCACTGGTTGTTAATATTTGCATTTTCTATACACGATAACATTTTCAAAATATTTTGATTTATTTTGAACTGTTTAGGGACATTTTCATTTTCCATTTTTTTTTAGTTTTTTTTCTAAAAATATCAATAAAATTTTATTTGTTGGTTGCGAAAGCTTGAAAATTTAATAGAAGGCTCCTAATATGTTGTTTCAAAGGCAGATGAAAAATATTAAAAATCCTTAGTCACAATTTTTTTTTATAAGCATTTAAAGTTCAAAAATTGACAAAATATGGAAAAATCACGAAAATTAGCAAATTATTTTGAGTTAAGAATTCGTAAAAATTTTTCTTTTTAAATCTAAGATTTGAAAATGAAACACAAGATTCCTTATAAGATTATCTACCTTTATCAATAAAAAAATCTCTACCGGACAGTCAAATTAAATTTTTATGAGCGTTTGAAATTCAAATTTTTACAACATTGGATTTTCACTCGATTTCTCATGTAGCGATTTCCTTATTTTGTTGTAATTCAAAAACGAATAACTGAAGATACATGAAAATTTCACTGGATGTTTATATTAGCATTTCCTATACACCATACAATTTTGAAAATATTTTGACTCTTTTTGAGCTGTTTATGGACATTTACAGCTTTCAATTTTTTTTAGTTTTTTTTTCTATAAATATCAATAAAGTTTTATCTGTTGGGCCAAAAAGTGTAAAAATTTAATACAAGGCTCCTGATATATTGTTACAATATCAGTTGAAAAATATTAAAAATACATAGGCACGATTTTTTTTTAAAAGCATTTAAAGTTGGAATTTTGACAAAATTTATCAAAATCTCAAAAATTATCAATCGTTGGAATTAAAAAATTATAAAATGTTCAGTTTTTATAACTAAGAGTTGAAAATTTAAAACAAAACTCTCTTAAATAATTCATACTGTAACCAAAAAATCTAAAAAATATATAAACACACTTATTTTTTACAGACATTTTAATTTCAAATTTAGACAAAATTTCATATTTAAACCAAGAATTACGATTTTAGTTATTTTGTTGTGATTGTATAATATTATTCGTGGGTACTTGAAATTTCTAAAGTAATCTACTATATATCTATGATAGTATCAGGGTTTGTTGTTGGTGTATAACGCGTTATAAGTACCTAATGGATATTGTGATATGATTAATTTGGAATTCATTATAGGTCAATTTTTTTTAATACCATAGATATGTATATAATATGTCTTATACCTAGAAGGACATACCGTCTCCTCTCAGAATCGTTTTTCTTATACAATGATATTATATCATTGAATTCAAATTTAATACCATCCATTATACAATGACCCACTTGTAATCTACTGTACAGCAGAACGACACCCACTTGCCCACCTTTTTTGTATTATATTTTTGTAGGACGTATTAGATAAAGTTTAATAAATTATTATTATTATATTTTTTTTCGTAGAATTATCATTCTTACATTTTTTGTTATAAGTATAATAATTTAGATTTAGGATATAATAATTATTAATTACAATACTCAATTTTATTATTTACTTGTATTAATAATAATGATTATTGATTATAATATTTAAATTCACGCGGTAATTATTTAAATGTTATCTTATCACACAAGTAGATATCGAAGTAATGCATGAACAACAGTGGCTCCGCAACAGTAATACTTGCCACCGAAAGTATGGCATTTGTAGGCTCGTTAATTTAAGGGGCAAACTAAAATTTTGAACAAATTTGCTATTACGGTATGATATTCAAAACTTACCAACTCATACCCAAATAGGTTTTGAGCTATCTTAATAATTGTTGCCAAGTACTGTCGTGTGTTGTAGTCAGTCGTCACTGGAATGTACACGTCATGTATAGGTGGGGAAATTTTAAATCGTAAATCATTGACACGGGTCAGGGCAGAGAAGCAAGATGTGCTGAGGCAGGGATAATATTTTCCTTATAATACCACTCCGTACGCGCAGGCACGAGCAGTCCCGTTGTCGCTGAGTGATTCGGCGAGAACGTAGGTACCTACGACGATTTTACGGACAAGTATTTTTTTTTAATAAGTGAATTATTCATGTTTGTGTAACCTAACCAGGGTAGCGGCTTAACTGTTCAAATCTTTAATAAATATTTTATCATTATATTTAAAATTTAAGACTCATTTAACGGAAAATCAGATAAAGAAAAATTATGTTAAGGGGGGGGAGGGGGCTCCAATCGGTCGTGTTTTAGGGATATTAATATAGGCATGGTAATATAACATGGTGATGACATTAAAATGACTTGAAGTGTGTGCATAGAAAATTAACTACGAACATATTACATCAATAAATATGGGTGAGTTTAAACTTTAATCGTGTTACGATGTATATTACGGATAGTAGGTAAGAATATGTTTTCAGAAAAAAAATTGGTAAAGGCGATATTACATAGGTAATAATCAGTAAGTATATACTAGGTATATTTTATTATATAATAAAAAATATAATCAATAATAATAATTACTCATTCGATATTTTTTCCCTCTTAAATCGATTTCGGGGGAAGCGTATTTGGTTTGGTAATCGGAAAAAAAATCCCCCGACGAACAACCCCGGGAAAAAAATCCCCGACCCTAGGAAAAAAAATCCCCAGCTACAATATTACTCACAATCACATGCAAATGGTTGAACAAATATATTTTGAACGTTAATTAGTATCTATAATTAACATTTAATGACAAATACGTATAGGTATTATATTCTAATATAATATAATATATTATATTATATTGTTAAAAAAATTATAAAAATATTAAAAATATTATAAAAACATTTAGAATGATTGATACGTCAATTAATAATACAGTTAAAAACATAGTATACAAAAATATTATACAAAATATAGGTAACTATATATTTTATGTTGGTATAATTCTGTAAAAATCGAATCCCCGAAATAAAATATTGCGTAAATTTTTTATAATATTTTTATATACCTACCATGTTTTTAACTGTATTCTTTGACGTATCGATATTTTTATACTTTATATATTTGTGTACACTACACCCCACACAACAATCATAAGTAATATTTGAAGTTTTGAAAACGTAATATTTTATTTCAGTGATTTAATTTTTATAGAATTATACCAACACAAAATGTGTATTAATATAGTAATATAAAATGTTATTGTTAATTTTTCAAAAATTATTTATAGTTATTTATTTATATTATTTTTATTACCTATACTTTGTATAATATTTTTGTATAGGTACTATGTGTTTAACTGTATTATTTGACGTGTAGTAAGCGAGTTACTACGCAACAACTAAAATCCTAGCAGGTAACATATTTAGGGTAATACATTGTAGATAGGTAACAATCAGATATGCCAAAGGGAAGTAGAAAATATTTAATTAGCCTTGATTATGTTTAATACAATATAGTCAAAAAAACTGTGTTAATATAATACCCAAAGCGAAAGGATAAGCAAAATTACATTTTATTATATTCAAATAATAAAATGACAGATTGTCATAATCATGTTCTACGATCATATAGAAA